TCATTTGATTATACATCCACAATAAAGCAAATGCACCACCCACCTACGAAAATTTTTCATTTTGACATTCTGAGAAGGATTTGATGGTGATCAATCCATGATACATAACCCAGCAATATCAAGAATAAACACCAGAGGGCACATAAAGTTCCTTACTCGAGTCCTGCTTGACTTGTTGTATTTTGCAACATATCAGGCTATTTCGAAAACAGCAGTGTTGTCTCTACTGATCCCTATATGATTCGGCTGTCCTTTACCATCATCGAAGAAGTCGCTGTTCTGGCTCATCAGCGGCACGATGAGCAGGTGGATGTAAGATGCAGTGAATTCTTTTCAAACTCTTACGTTTGGTTTACATATTAGGGATTGCTCGGGAGCGTTCACTCTGATTTGATCGTGGGGTTGTTCAGGCTATCAAAGTGACTAGCATTCCATTTTAAATACTCATCTCCTCCTCTGCCTTTCCATGTTTCCTCCGTAAAGGAGCTACAATGCGGAAAAGCTCTGGCGTCCGATAACAGCTGTCCCTTTTTCTTTGCGGCGTATCCGTTATGTGATTGTGAATTATTCGAAGCAGTAATATCAAGTGAGCGCTTTCAACTTTACCCATCCCTAGGCTCAGTATCGGTCAAAGTGGTACCGAGCAATCGACTTCGCGTTTGATATACAAGGAATACTTTGTTGAATATAGCAATTACTCCAGGGTTGATGGGTAATCGCAACTGTATACCATCACCTGTTCATGTGAAATGGTCTCAAGCTGTTTTTCCATTCCTTCATCATCTCTTCTCTCGAAAACTGGTCTTTAGCCTTCCTGAATGAAATCGTTAGAAGAAGAAAGGATATCTCAGATTATCATTGGCATATTAATCTTCCGAGGTGCCTTTATTTTCATTATGCCTACACCCGCGACCTCAGCTTCTTTCAAAAGCAACCCGAACTCACCGTTGCCACCAACAACTGTATTAGAATGTCATGACGACCTTTTGAAAACTCACATCGTTGGTGAGTGCCCAGACGATGTCATTCAGTGCGAACCGAGGTCAGTCAATTAACTAGCTTACCAAATGTCACCTACCTTTTAACTGAACTTCTTTACAAGGCAGATTTTAAAGTCTCCTGAATGTGTCAAAGAATAAACCGAGACACCCAGGCGGCTCTAAACACCCGTCACATATACGACGCAACAAAAGAGAACCCAAGAGACCTGGTAGGTGGGTGTTAGGGTGCTCGGGGATATCGTATCCCACATTCACGGGACTTCAAAATATGGCTTGTACTGACACTCGACACTTCGGCCCTCCGTTCCCTCTGCTCATTGCACATTTACAAAAAATGAGCGAAAATGTTGAGAGGGATGCGCGTTTTCGCTTCGTCGCGGCTTGAGAGCATCGCACTGGTCAGTTTCACTTCCATTCAAACTTTCCGCAAGAGGTTAGCACCTCTCCTATCCCATAGCTTCTTTACTCTCTAGACATGACCAAAATAATCACATTCTTTTGACACAGGACCGTTTCCTAGCACCCTTGTGACTGTGAGCCCCCAAAGTATCACACTCCCCTATTCATCTACCCTCAACGTCAAACATACGTAGACCCACACACTCCTCCTACACTCTCCATCAAATACCTTCCTGCCAAAGTTACTGCTTGTCATTGCTTTCCTTATCAGCGCTTTCGTCACAGATTGTTTCATCGGATCTAATTTATATGGTTCTACAGGGAATCGAACATAAATAGCAGAAAAGTCTATTGTGGGATCACTAAAAGTAGCACACTCCTCAATCTAGGTGTAGTTCTTTAAAAGTCAAAAGATAGCAAAGGTAGGAGACTTTTAATTCCTAGAATAAAACATGCTCCTAAGAGTCCGGTTCACTTATGAACCCCTATCTCGAACGTGAAAAATCAATAGCATTCCTTATCTATCATCACGATAAGCCAAACGACTTGAAACGTTCGTCATTTCACGCAAAAACTTTAGACCGGCTACTTTCCAGCATGGCAAAACGCATTCATTCAAGATGGAATGATGAAGTCTTGGGGCGTTAATCAATCCTGTCTGAGGGATTCGCCGATACATTCGATTTCCATTCAGAATCGTAGTGGCGTATTGAATGCGTATGTGTCCTGTACAATGACTTGCGGTGGCCAGCCGAAGTACAAGTCAGTGCTTTTATCGTCCCAGGCGAGTCTGGTACCAATTAACCGACCCTGGGGGATTGAAGGCTTGGTTGGCCAAGGCGGATAGCGATCCAGGATTTGAGCCCGTGACCACGCGTGCACGTGGTGTACCACATGCCACTACACCACTTTCGCTCTATGATGTGGATACTGATGAAAATTATGCCTCCGTTTCAGGCTCTCAGCCGTTTCTACATAATCATCGATGTTGTGGTACAGAGTCCGTATATCTTTTATCTTTGTGATATTTAGTGATTGTAACTAATGCGGCCTTCGAATAATTCGAATTTTGAGCCAAAGTTATCATCGATTCATCAAACTTCGCTGCAATTCATACCATTGATACTACTCATTTACTGGCGTATACTTGTCGCTGAATCGCCTACGTGTTAGTCTGCCTCCTCCGACCTTTAGTACGGACGTAGCCGACCGTTACGCCGAGGAGTATCCTTGATGGTATAATAATCGAGGGTTGCGACGGGACAGGTTGTTAGAGGCTTTGGCGGTCGTAATATCTTCTTTCCGCTTCGATGGTATCGATGCTGAAACATTTAAGTTGACATCGCAGTCCAACCAGTGCTCACGATACAAGACAGATTTTAAAGTCCCGTGAATGTGTTATACAGTAACCCGAGCATACACTCTAGCGCCTCCAAATGCCCATCACATACACAACGCAGCAAAAAGGAACCTTGGGGGATGCCATGGGTGAGTGCTTGTGCATTGCGGGTTTTACTGGGACCCCCACATTACACGGGACTCTTGGAATCTTTTCGAGAAGTTCAACTTCGAAATGGAGAGATGCGAAATCGTATGAAATGGTGAAATATGCATGTGCTAGGATCAGACCTATATCCACAGAAATCTAAATTAATCTAATCTAATTTCTTACAAATCTTGAAATGGCTGGTGATTCCTAGAGGGTCGGTATCTTCTCCCCGAACACTGCGTCGCGCTCGCCGCACCCGCCGCGTATCGCAGAATTGCGATGGAAGATTGGAGCGCGCAATTTGCGAGTTAGGGAGTCCTTTAATTGTTTGAATTTGCCGGCCTCTTCCTTCAGTTCCAATGCGGTCTTGATCGTCGATAATATAGAAGGAGTCATTCCAAATAATCAAGTCCAGTAAATATAAAAACGAAAAGAAACAGAAGAAACGACCGAAACTAATCAAAAAAAGGCAGACAACGAAAAATGCTCCGTCTTGTCGATTGGCGAGTTGGTGGGATCAATACGGTAGATCCAGTCTGAAGCCGAGGGACAACTAAAAAACATTTGCCGCATGCCGCAAAGCCAAAGTGGGAAATCGGGAGGAAGTTCCCCAATTCGTAAACATCCGTCACCCATTCCTAGACAGTTCCGGTTCTATAATAATAACGTCTGAACTTTCCAGATGGCTTGTTTTCTATTCAAACTACAAACAGCCATGTTATGCAGAATTCACTATTACTAACAAAGACGATCACAAGATAGCCTGGTGTATCAAAGCAAAGGCATGAAACATTCGATTTATGAGTTGAGAGGTTTTACTGTGCATGTTTTGTAGAATTTAAATCTTACAGGAAAAACTTATGAAACTCTCCCAAACGCATGGCATTTTGAAATCAGGCGAAACTCGAAAACTCACGGTATGTTACCTATTAAAGTCGCGGTGTACACTTTCGTCTCTGTAGTAGGTCCATGTCGATTCCTATAATGTGGAGCTTCGATTGCCATATTCCCTTGGTACTTCTTAGATTACGTTAATAAACTGGAGTGCTAATAAAGTGCCAAAGACACAATTGATGATAACAATGGCTTCTAAAATTCCCATCTAGGATGAAATTTGGCT